CCCCCCCCCCCCCCCCCCCCGTAACTGGACATAGTACCAGTGGACCACTGGCTCAGGACGGGTTCTTGGAAAAATCATGTCATTCTGACACACAGGAAAGTATCCAATTGTTTTGCCGTATCTCCGCGCCAGAAGTGTCATGACATCAGCCTGCTCCAACTAGTAAAGCCTGTCTCTTCCCACCATCCCTGCTTCAGGAGAGAGGGGACCCAGGGCAGGCCAGGCTTAGCTGGATCCCCGAAGCAATCTGAGACCAGACCTCCACTGCTCCAAAGGTTCCTTCACCGGCACATGTGCAGTTAGCCTCCTGGACTTCAGCTGAGCACGGCCTGTCCAACAGGGTGCCCTTACCGGTTACTGGGGGTGCTGAGGAGGTACACTTGTGTGTATCTGAGATGGGGAAGTCCAGAAGTGGCGGGGGGCGGGGGGGGGGGGAGTGCTGTTGTGGTTCCTGGTGCCGTCTCTGTCCCTGGCATTCTTTTCTGGAGTGCTGGCTCCACATGCTGCCTGAGGTTTCGAGGAACTGCAACAATGCAGGACTTGGCACCCAGATTACTGTGCTTTCTTCTCCCAACGTGTTTCCTCTCACACCAGCCTTCCAAAGATATTAGTGCACAATATGGAAATGCTTTATTCTGTGACCAGAAGAAAAAGCAGTAATGGTCCCTTAAAACACCAACAAACCAACCAACCAACCAAGAAATACAATTCATTCACTTCCCTAACTCCTCTTTATTAGGGAATAATTACACGTGGATTTAAGCAAATTGAATATTCTCACACTCCTAAGAGTTAAACAATTGATATTATTTAACATAAAATGAGAAAAAAGAGACCTATTCTTCCAAGAAGACAGAGCCTATCCTGGTCCAGTGGCATCTTTAACATTTTTATGCACAGATGAGAATCACTTTGCCTTTTTAAATTACTTCCTTTCTTTAAAAGGAAAAATTTCCTTTTATGAACTACTTTAACCAGGAAATTAACTGCTATCAACTAGAATACTGGTAATGATATTTTTTCCTGGAAACCATTTCCCCATAATATTGGAAAACACAAACTGTAGATATAGGCCATTAAAAGAGTTACTTAATTACTGGAAAATAATTTTTAAAGATTCTTATTTCATTTCATGAGTACTCTGAACAATCACTCCCAATATTCAAACTCTTGTGTTTTGCTTTCCAGTAATTACAAACGTTTTTAGAAAAATTATCTTACAATGTCACTTTTTAAAACAGATTTCAGCTTACTTTTTAAAAATCCTTCATTAGAGAAGCCTCGAATTCTAACCTTTTTTTTCTTTTGTGTCTTTTCAGAGTCATCATAGGAGAGGATATTAGTAGAAACCACACTTTTATCCACATCTGACTCTAAACTTAATAGTTAGCTATTAACTCTATAAGGGTTTTTTTTTTCTCCCCAGATGATATTAGATTTTATTTGCATGACCAAAGCTGACTCACTGCAATCCCCTTTATTATACAAACGGTGGTTCCATGGAACTTGATTATAAAAACATGATAAACTTTTTAAGTTTCATTGGTATTGCTAGCAGAACTGATTGAATCTGTCATTTTAGTAAAACATATCACTTTTCTTTTGAGAAAACCTGTAAACCCACAGGGTCACTCAGTGATAAATCAACAGTAAGAACCACATTAAGGATGGAAAAATTAATTTCCCAAACCTATTTGCTCACCTCAACATGGCTACCCTCTGTGTACCATCCAGTTTTTCCCCCTTCCTTCCTCCCCCCTTCCCTCCTCTCCTCCCTCCACTCCTCCCTCCCCTTTTTCTTCCCTTCCTCCCTCTCCTTCCCTCCCCCCCTCCCTTCCTAGGTTTATTCACAAGAAAGAGTCACTATTGTTAGCCATGACTTATTAAAACGGATTTTTGAGTTCATCAGCAAATGTGCTACCTCTTAACTGTGGGTAATGTCCATTTATTTCTAGAACCTTTAGTTTTAATATGTGGTGCACATGCATTGTTAACCTTTAAATCCTTTGTATAAACATTTCTGGTAGGGCTTGTAAAATATCTCCTCCTGTGTTTCCTGACTCGCCAGTTGATGGCATTTAGAAACCCTCTGGTACCAGCAGGTGCTGTATTTTGCTTTCTTCAGGCTCCAGCTGGGCTACAGTGACAGATTCCTGTCCCAGGCCAAACCCAGCCACCTAGGCTAGGACCACATTGGAGGCAAACTGAACCGGGCCCCACCAGACAGCAAGATAAATGGCTGCTGTCTAAGTTTAAAATCCCTTGGTGGGAGTAAATATTGTTCCAGGGGAAAAGGCTTGACAAATATTGCGTCATCCTTCCAAAGCTGTCTTGATTAAAGCAGAATCTTTGGATTAAGTTGGTGCTCAATTCAAAATGTATCTATCTTGCTGTCATGGGATTTTTCCCCCCTTCCTAGAGTCTGAAAACACATATTGTTGAGGATGGTCAAATAAGACTGCCGCCTCCCAAGGGGCTGCCGTCCACTCCTGATAATAGAAGGCGGCTGAACGCTGACACTTCACCGAGGAGAATGGAGACAGCAAAGGCTTAGTGGGAAAAGGCCAGTTGTCACCTAAGTGACAGGCAACAGCTGAGCTCACACATCTGGAGCCAGACCAGGGCAAACATTCAGCAACCCTTGCTGGTCTACACCTTGGGCCTGTCTGAAAGGACAGAGAGAAGTTCCCTTTCCTTCGAAAGCACATTAAAAAAATATCTGATGGTGAACCACATCAATTATATAACCCAGCTGCTGCAGGCACGGCCTTCTGAAGTACTAATTAAAATGAAGAGGTACACACAACTGTGAGGCATGCTCACATACAATTTCGTTGAGTATAAACCGTCCTTCATAAAATCCGTCCTAAAAATCACAGACACATGCCTGCTCTTTATAGCACAAATGCATCTGAACTCCTCTGGAGAGGCACGATCTTTCGATCTTTACATGCTCTTTCCCTTCAGGCAGGTTCCCAGGGTGTGCTCTTCACCTGGTTCATGGCCCAGATCTGCCTCCCATACTCTTTCTAAAATCAGCAACCAAATATGTTTGGGTTGTGATTCGGAATCCTCCTTAGGCAAGCCGCAACTCAGTGCGATGCCAGCCATCCTCCCCGCCCCCCCCACCTCATTCTTCAGCCTGCAGAAGACAATCTGTGGACAATTTTCCCAAAGTCCCCGAAAAAATATGGCACTGCCGAGCGTCACTGGCGATGTCGTTTGTTTTTCTTGGAGGGCAATGAAAAATTAACAGCTTTCTGCTGCATCCTGAGTCCTGGTCTTGCTAATTATTAACATGCCCAGTTTCTCCAACTTTTTCTGCCTAAAGGGAAGAAGACGCTCCCATTCTCTTCCACATACGTGCTACATTCAGAAAACACCTTTGTCGGGGCGGGAGCGGGGCGGAAGAGCCGATGCACCCCTGCCAAAAAGCAATCGGCCCTTTCCGCAGAGCGTTAGGAGAGAATCAGCACCCTCCCTCCGGACGCCAGTAGGTGACAGGCGATCCTAAGCGGCGGACACATGCCAACGCACCCTCGCCTCCCTGCGCCCCTCATCGCCCCCAACTCTGGGGCCACAGAACGGGTTTCCACGCAGGAGAGAATCAAGGCAAGAGTTGGTAGTGATGCAGCAAACAGGGAGCCATGCGGGCAGCCTATCCGAAGCCCTCTTGGTGCTGCAGCCCAGTATCAGCTTTCAGTGTCTACACAGCCCACAACAAACCGAATCTGCCCTTCTCTCTTGGTTTCTGCTCTGCCGGCCCAGTCTGGGTGTCACAGGCCCCCCACAGTGACACCCTAAGTGCCCGGCCCTTCCCCTGCGGCGCTCGCCCCCCACTGCCGCGCCGCAGCCCCTCTGCAGAGCCGGCCAGAGCCGGGCTGCCACTCACCCCGCGCGAGGGAGAGAGAACTCGGCTGGACGGTCCTCCGCGCCGCGGCACGTCTGCGGAGCTGCGGTCCGCGGCGTCAAGGGTGGGCGAGGGCGGGCAGCAAGCCGAGCATCGAGAGCCCGGCAAGTCGCCGTGCCGGCCGCGGCGCCCCTCGGGGAAGTCAGCGCAGGCGGTGCGAGGCTGGCATGTTCCGGGGCGCGCTGTCGGGCGGCGGCGGCCGCGGGAGGCGGCGCTCACAGCGGTCTGCAGGCAGAGTGCGCTCCGACTCCCGAGCGCCGCGCCGCGGCACCGCCGCGCACCCCGCCCTCGGCCTCCGGGGCCCGGCGGGAGCGAAAACGCGGAGCGCGGACGCCGCAGCGGGATCCAGGCCGCTCGGCGCGCGCGCCCACGCGCACCCCGGCTCGGCCCCGAAAGGCGAGGTCGCTGCCGGGCTCCGGGCGGGCGCGCGGGCGCGGGGCGCAACGTGGCGAGGCAGGGCGTGCGGGCGGGCGGCGAGCTGGGCAGGACTGGCTGGGCGAGCAGCCGCCGCAGGCGCTGAGCGAGGGGCGGGTTATCTGCTCGACGAAGTTCACCCAGGCGCGGCCCAGGTTCTCAAGTGCCGCTCTGTCGTCTCCTCTGCCCCGCCCCCGATTTTATGCTCCCTCCCCCTTTTTTTAACCAACAATCCTGATGGATTGAAAAGACAGCAAGGGTGAAGGGGGGGAAAAGACAAACCCAATTTCCTCTGATCAAACGGTTTGGGGATTGCTTATGTGGGTCTTTTTTCACTTCGTGTGTGTGTGTGTGTGTGTGTGTGTGTGTGCTGGGGGAGAGGGTAGTTAATTAAACTCTTAGATTCCTTCGGGCGCGCCTCGCCTCGCTGGGGACCCACTGGGACTCGAGCCTATCTCCTGCAATCCTCCAGGCTGGGCTGTCTCCGCCTAGGAAGGAAGAAGCCGAAGATTCAGCGTCTAGTTCCTTCCCTTCCCCTCCTCGACGGTCCTAGCATCTCCAGGAAAAGCTCCAAGTCTGGAGAGTGCGTGTGAGAACCTCAGCCCACCCCAGTGTCCAGAGCCTGGCCCAAGTTAGCATGGATTACTTAAAGTCGTTTTCAGAGTACTAATTTGATCACGATGATCGTTTTTCATTGGCCAACGACTCTCCAGGTTTTCTCTCTGCCCGATTCCCAGGGTTGGGCTCTCAGTCACATTCTCCCAGGATGAACTGGGACTCGGCCTGTTTGGAAGTTCTGCCCTGACATTTGTGTTGCCTTAGAAGCTCTCGCCATTTCCAGTTCCAGATCAGCGGAGTCACACAGCGTGTGGGTACGATTTCTTCCGAGGTTGCAGAGGGCAGACCCGACGGCAGCTGCTAACCCCAGCTTGACAGGTGTCTCTGCGAAGCTGGAGCTTCCTTGATCTGTCGACTGCTTTCACAACCCTCTAGGATACTGTATCATCCTCCAGAAAGATGAGGGTGTGTGTGTGTGTGTGTGTGTGTGTTGTAAGAACCGTTTTTATTCCTTTAAAAAAAAATCAAAAAGGCCAATCTCAGAATTTTTCAGAGCACCGAGTCTCTTCCATTTTCATTGGAAGTGAAGCAAAGTAATACTCAGCAAAAAATAGACTTGATGAAAAAGAGGATGTAAGGAAATAACATCTAAAGGCAAAGCGAGGAGGAAACAACAAATCTAGGGAAATGTTTCACCTTGGCACTGTGCTCTGTAATTCCAAGTCTGACTCACATCTCCTGCACGACAGAAACTCTCCCTTCTAGATACACAGGCTGGGTTTCTGATTCTCTGAGCACAGCTCACTCAGGAAACAAAGCTGTTGCTTTTGAAATAACTCCGCCTGCTTGTGGTGTTTGTAACTGATGGGAATCTGAGGGAAAACAACCGAGGCTGTCTTGCTCCTCAGCATTTTATTGGAGTTAGCCTTTTAAGTTCTGTCTGTTTAACTTACCATGGTTACAAATGCTTCTATTAAGCTATAAACTTTTAGCTTCTATCTAACCTCCAGAAGGGCCCAAGAAGATAGACAAACGTGATTGATTTCACCCATGGAGGTAGTAAAATTAGTAGGTTTAAGGGCAGAGAGTCCACTCTCTTTGTTAGTATCTGTGGGTGTCTGTCTATTGTCTCAATCAAGACCTTCAAATGCAAGCAGTTCCCGACGAACTGAATGATGCAGTGGAACAGAACCCACTGAGGATGGTGTCACTTGTACAGCAGTGTCTTCATGAGAAAGTCCTCTTCAGTGGACCAGCAGGCATTTGGAGCAGGCAGAATTGGGGTGAAGAAGCTCATGAAGAGAATATTTATTAAGCCTGCCCTTGGACCTCCCTGATGATTGCGGAAAATGATACTTTCTTATTATAAGAGATGATTCTGTTATCAGAGCACTTATAACTCTGTGATGACTTCACAAACGTTTGTTTACTGAGCATCACACATGTTGGGCACAGTAGGGCATCCATAGTTGTTCCCTCCAGAGGCTTATTTCCTCTCTGGACGGTGCGCTGGGCAGCATCTTTTGGATCTGATGCAAATGTGAATGCTTGGTCTTCAACCAGGACTCTCATAACATTACTTTGGGTGGCACAGGTGATGATTTGCAGTCAGAGAAGTCAAATCTCAGCCCCACTCCTTACCAAATGTAACCCAGGATAATGTAGTTAATCCTGAGGTGATTCTTAGTTTCTACATTTGCAAATGAGGAGAGTAATACCCACCTCAGAGAGATAGATATGGGGAGGACTGAATGCTAGGTGTGCAGGAAAGACTCCATATGCGGAAAGTTTATATAATGCCACAGCCACCCTTCTCTACACCAGCCTCCAAGAAAATCATGCAAGTTAGAAAAGAACCATTATAAATTTAATCTAAAAAAGCCTGTTTCATTGTGGACTATTGGGTTGTTTCTGGGTCTTTTATATTACTGGTGTTACTTTGCCTTTACAAACCAATATGGTACCATACTTAAATAAATTCACTCAGGGAATGTCCACTTCTTTTTTAAACCCTTGGTAACAAATGTATTTTTTTTTTAAATAATAGCTTTATGCACTGAATTGTGTCCCTCAGAGATTCATCTGTTGAAGTGGTCGCCTCCTAGTACCTCAGGATGTAATCTTGTTTGGAGGTAGAGTCTTTGTAGCTCGGACCTTAAAAAAGCAAGAACTGACAGTTTTGGCAGGCTCTGATTCTCAGGTCTTTTTGCTTCCTAGGCTTTGCTTGGTCCCTATTCCCTGTATTTGCCCTCAACGGGGACTCCTTTCCCCGACCTGAAGACTCAGCTCCACTCAGTGTTTCCAGGGCAAACCAGTTTTGACCCTTCAATGAGGGTCATAGGCTTAGCTGTAAGGTATGTTCCCCTACTAGAAATCCTACGTAGTTTCCCAGGGCTTTCTAGATTGAACACACCCTCCTTGGATTAGCCTAAAAGGGCCCTCGTATTTGTACTCTATCTCTCTAGTTTATTTTCCTACCAGTCCCCATCCTTGTTTGCCCTAACCATATTAAACTATTTGCAGTTCTTTGAAAGCATCAAGCTATTTTATGCCTCTGTGATTTGAACATACCTAGCATGTTACCCATTGATAATTGCCCTCTTTATTAGATAATTCCTGCTTATCCTTTACAATTCAACATAAGCATCACCTTTTTGATGGTCCGTTGAGATGCATATTGTTGTTTTGTCTGCCTAGCATCTATTTCTCCTTTGTAATGCCCCAGATTTTCTTTGGGGAACCACTTTCCCCCATTGTCAGTGGTGTCCATGGTTTCCTTGGAGACTTATTCCTGGACCAGGTGACTCAGACCTGGAAAATTAGAGGTCTGGATCCTCCTGATCAAAAGAATGGTCCAGGGATGGGCATGTGACCCAGGTCAGATCGTGGGATTTTGCAGGAACTTTTAGGAATTTCACAGCAACAAATTCAACAAATATCTATTTAGCATTTATATACCAGTGAGCTCTTTGCTGGAAATTCAACAGTAAACCAAACAAAGTCTCTATCCCTATGGATCTTCTTTGAGCCCCTGGATCAAACTGCCTGAAAACAAACTACCACAGAATGTTTCAGATGAAATTGATATTTGTTGTTGTCTTTTCAGCAACTTTGGTGTTTAAGTGACTTGCAAATTAAAGACTACTAACTGGTATCACCATTTAGATGCTACTTTTCTCTGTTCAACTTTCTACGCTTTTATCAGGTCATTTGTTTATTTGATTAGTTATACCTGACCTTATTCCAAAAACATTTAAGGCCATTTTAATTAAACAGCAATAACATATAGCAAGTTAACTTGAAATTTTAATTTGAAAGTAAGTATGAAATGAGAAACAGAAAGGAGACAAATTCATAAAATTAATTCCATAAAGAATGGGACACAATTTAGCTTTTAGGTTTCGAGCAGCCAATATAACAGGGGTCACGTAATTCTTACACAATTGAAAACATCTCTAAGATAAAATAATCCTTTCAGGAGAAGCATAATTATTGTTTAAATCAAAGAGCAGAAAGAAGCACCCAGCCCAGGTCATCATGAAGAAGACTTCAGACAAATGATGCACAACATCCTCGACAACATCCTTGCAGAGCACACAACAATGTGTTTCTTGGGGCTTGAGCATCCCTCAATTCACTTTTCAGAAAATTCATTTTTCAGAAAGGGAAATTTAATTCACTTTCCTTCGTGACAGGCATTTCACAGAGTGTATAAAAATTACAGCGAAGTTAGTAGTCCAGAGTGTTCTAGTAGTACACAACAGGGGCAAGCCACATAGTTGGAGGGGAAGAGGTAGGGTCAGGGAAGTCTTCCTGGAAGAAGAGGCATCTGAAAGGTGAACTAACCTAAGGAAAGGTGTGTGTGTGTGTGTGCGTGCATGTACATGCATGTGCACGCACATGTGTCCATGTTCAAGCAATTTAGGTAGAGGGAACATCGTGTGTAAAAGTGAGGGTGTGAGTGCAAGTATGGTGAATCTGAGAAACTGAAAGATGTCCGGTCTGGCTGCAGCTTGGGGTGCCAGGGGAGAGTGATGATGGAAGCTTGGCTGAGCCTGGAGAGATGGGCAGAGGCTGCATCATGAATAAGCTTTGGTGGGGGAAGATGGTGGGTTCAGTTTTGGATGTCAAGAGAAAGTAACCTTCAAAAATGACTAAGAAGAAGCCAAAGATACAGGAAGGAGCTAGGGAGAAAGGGGGGTGAAAGAATTCAAAAGAAGAGGGCATTTCAAGAACAGAGTAGTACCTGTCCTCTTCTGCTAAATTCTGCTAAGTTTTAGACTGCGGAGAA